TTTTTGATGGGGAAAAATACTGTTGAAGCCAAACAGTGGCTTAATAAGCGTTACGAAGACTCTGCACCAGGGAAATCAACTATTATCGACTGGTATGCTAAAATTAAACGCGGTCGTACAAAAACACCGATGATGCTGAACGCTCTGGTCGCCCAAAATCGGCAGTTCCGAAAAACATAAAAAAAGTACACAAAATANAACTATTATCGACTGGTATGCTAAAATTAAACGCGGTCGTACAAAAACACCGATGATGCTGAACGCTCTGGTCGCCCAAAATCGGCAGTTCCGAAAAACATAAAAAAAGTACACAAAATAGTTTCGAAAGACCGTATAGTGAAATTGCGTGAGATAGCTGACACCTTCAAGATATCAGAAGGTAGCGTGTTTACAATTTTACACAAAAATTTGAGCATGTGTAAATTGCTTTCGAAGTAGATGCCGCGTTTGCTCGCACCGGAACAAAAACAACAACGTGTCGACGATTCGGAGCGTGGTTAAGCGATGGTTAAATTGAACGAATTACGCTTCGAATTGCTTCCCCACCCACCGTACTCTCCAGATCTAGCCCTCAGCGATTACTGGCTTTTTGCAGACATTAAAAAGATGCTCCGGAGAAAGAAATTTGGCTCAAATGCCGAAGCGATTGCCGAAACGGAGGCCTATTTTGAGAACAAAGACAAATCGTTCTACAAAAAAGGCATCGAAAAGTTAAAGGAGCATTGGAACGAATGTATCGCTCTTGAAGAAGAGTATGTTGACGGATAAAGTCGAATTTCTAAAAAAAAATTTGTTTTTCTTAGCTAGACCGGAGACTTATTGAGTGATGTGTTAAATTGCCTTAACGGTGTCCCACGCGTTCGAAGCGTTGCTACTCGGAGTCCGTAATTTGTACCTTATGATCAATATGCACCCCGACCTAAGTCTCAACGCGCGTTATACGGTGAACGATAGCATTCGTTTATCGCGATTAAGTAATACCGAACACGATACGCGCAGTATTTGCAGTGCCAATTACGACGAAAACCTGCGCTTCGAGATGAAGCTAATTTGAAGCGGCGCTAATTTACCGTTGTATTTGAACATGCTATTAGACGCGCGCGTGTTGCGCGCTGCGCGTTGCATTCGCCACCAACATCAACCGAGCGCACGGCTCGGCGGCACGCGTGAAACATTGCTGCAACACTTGAACTTAGAACTTGAAATCTCGAAATCTTGAAATCTCGGCGCAGCTTACGCACCACTGATATGAACGAGCCCTGTGCGTTTCTCAGGCTTGTTATCTCTCATTCATCGACGCCGGAAGTGCCGAGCAGTAAACCCGAGCAGTCTCTCTCTCTCTCTCTCTCTCTCTCTCTCTCTCTCTCTCTCTCCCTCTCTCTCTCCCCCTCTCTCTCTCCCTCTCTCTCTCCCGCTCTCTCTCTCCCTCTCTCTCTCTCCCTCTCTCTCTCCCNTCTCTCTCTCTCTCTCTCTCTCTCTCTCTCATTGTAACAGTGACAAAACTACATTTGTTCGTCTGCGCTAAAATTTCGATCGCTTCTGAACGATCCTCTGGTGTACAGTAATGTCTCCCTAATTGACGCTCAGATCGCGTACAAAAATGGGCAATTTGGGAAGAGGAGATACGATTATCTGAGCCCTGCAGCTCGTTCTTATAATTGTTGCCAATTCGTGACTATAAAAACGAACCGCAAGGCTCGAATAATCGTATCTCCTCTTCCCAAATTGTCCATTTCTGTGGACAATCTGAGCGTCAATTAGAGAGACATTACTGTAGTTGGTTCGCGTTGGTCGCTCGTTATGAATTGTTTGAATTTTGTTCGTATTTTGCCAACGGAGAAAACAAGGACTGAAATTCTCTCTAAAAGTGTAGAACGATGTGTGAGGTCTCCCCCGCACACACTCGCACCCACACCAACACCCACACCAACGTGTACGCCTATCGAAGTCGACGCTTTGTTTCGGATTAAAGAACCGTCCAAATCCGTATTGCGTTACGCTGTAGGGGTACATATAATCACTTTGTAACGTAAAACCGAATGTAGTGCGGATTCTGAGCCACTCACGAGCCAGACACGAGTCCTTGTGGTCTACTCGCAAAATCCACTCGCTGTTCTGTCGCACGGTTATCATTGTTCCGTGCGCTACTTATACTTCCACAGCGGCTCCATTCGTCACGTGACCTCCACCTTACCCCTCGTCGGACTTTCCCCTGATCGCGGGTCTCGTCGTTTCTGTTTATTTTAGCGAAAATTAACCCCTTGATGTACAGTTTTTTTTTAAAAGGCCGGCCAAAAAAAATCAATTTTTTTTCATGTAAAAAAACACAATTTAGAACGTTGTCTTGGCAAGAAAATTAGAAAAATACAAAAATAATAAATATTTATACAATTAGTATGATTTCTAATTTTCAGAATATTACTATTATTATTATTATTATTTTTTATTATTGTTGTTATTATTATTATTATTATTATTATTATTGTTATTATTATTATTATTATTGTTGTTGTTGTTGTTGTTGTTGTTGTTGTTGTTGTTATTGTTATTGTTATTATTATTATTATTATTATATTTTAGTAAAATATATATTGAAAAATGAGCGAATCAGAATCTGAATATAAATACGCTGTCGGAAAGCGGCTCACAAGGAAAAGATAAGTCGTAAATGATAAGTATAGAAAAAAAGGATATATTTTATACTTGAATAAGTAAGTGTTATAGCTTACAATCCCATGGAAATGATAAATATCAATAAAACGATTGTTTCTTTTTTGCTTTTACATTGTTACTTTCAATTCTCGATTGCATTCGAGTGTGAAAAATTATAGCAACATAAAGTACAACGCCGCTCGAATTATCTCGAGTGTGCACAGTTTGGCCAGTTTAGCGCGCTCGAGTTAACTCGAGCGTGCACGTTAAGGGGTTAAGAGAAGGAAAACGACAGGCTCTTTCTTCTGCACGATCCTATTATCAAGAATTCTTGTCGGCGTTCTTTTCATAATCGAATTTGTGCTTTTGATTATTATAAAGATAGGAGAACACGATGTGATATAAATTATCAAACAGAAATAATTCGGTAGAAACTTTGAACAAGGTGGTTTATATTGTACTCATTTTCTTCTTCGCACTTAAATAATCGTAAAGAGTACGAACTTCGATGGCAAATTGTTCGCGCCACCGTTGAACGTTCGAGAATAAATATAATCGACGTGCCGCAATTACGATCGATAATTATATTTGCATAATTGTGTCTATCCAGTATCATAGAGCGATAATTTACGAGGAAATTTATTGATCGTAAAATATCGCGCAACGTTTTCAAGCGTGTAACGCTAGCTGCGATATAACGTAAATGTTCCCATCAATCATCGTGCTCGCCTTTTCCAACATTAGAAACAATAAAAACCGGTAATGAAATCATTGGACGTTCGTTTATAGTTTAACCGATGTCTTACTTGTGAAATGAAACGAATGAACGGGGAAGCGATAGAATACGATTATAGCGGAATGTGTACACCGAGTATTTGCATTTCATCGAAAGTCGAATAAGCCAGATCCGAAAGGATTCGCGAACCAGTTTGCGCGGCCGCAGTGTTATGAACAAGAATAACGGTCTTATTAACGAGCCATTTCATGGTTAATTTGTTGTAATTGCCGGAGAAGCTTATTGCGTTTGTTGCGCGAACAGCGGCCCGATTTGACGGCTCGACATGATTTACGCGCCGGAGATAAAGAGTCCTCGATTAAAGCGCGCCTCTTATCCCGAGGGCGTATTGAGCTATTCAGCCGTTTATAATGCAATTACGTTTTGTTTCTGTCCTAACCTTTCGCTATAGCCTCCACTGACCACCTAACCGACATTTCCCATTTGGAACTGCGAATTTTATTGCTTTACCGGGAATCAAGGCGAACTATCGTCTTCTGTTATCCGATGCTATTTCGCGATTTGCTTCAAGATTAACAAATCTCCGATGATCCTTTTTTATTAGAAGCTTTTAGCTTATAAACAAAAATTTGTACAAACTATAACTAACCGAAAAAATCCTTTATGGGCTCTTTTGTTTAGGATTTTGGAGATCTTCGAGAACTTTTTATCAGTTTTGCTTATGGGTCAGCACTGGTCTACTGATAGTTTGTAAAACTAGACCTAGTTAGCAAGAAACAAACATCCTATATACGTCGTTTCTGTGCTTACTCACAGTGCTCTAATAGCTTTTTCGCGAAAGAGACCTGCGATGGAATCACAAACGAGATACAGGGCCACAGAAGCCCCATTACCATTTCTGTGTCGCGCTCATCGTTACCGATATTTCAGAAATTTATGTTTCTCAACGAGAATCGAGTATTCTGTATATCCCGTTTGCATTACGACACGCTTTTTGATTTGGAAACCACGAATTCATTGGGCGCACATATTCAAATCATAAAAGTAGAAATATAAATTTGACAGCAATTCAATAGTAATTTCATTCATTGAGAATTTACGCATTTAAATCGAGTATATACATTGTCGGCAAAAGAGAAATTTACTCCGTAACGGTTCATTCAGGGACCTCTATATTTTCCACGGCAACTTTGTCTTCAAAATACCGACAGTCGGTCATAAATGTGCCGTAATACAAATGAGGTATATAGAATACTCGGTTCTTGTTAAGAAGCTTAAATCTTTGAAATATCGATAACGATGACCGCGATACGAAAATGGTAACGAGGCTTCCGATTCCGAAGTCCCATTCGTGGATGATGAAATAATTCAGTATGTATCAAGTCTACTTCACATCTATACCTCGCCTGTGCTATTAGGTTATGTTGCTTGCATCGTACAAAAATGGTTAATTTGTATAAATGAAAGGTATTTTTATTTTGAAAGATGAGTCTCGTTGCATACGGAAGCAGCGATGAAAGTTCAGACGAGGAAGGAAACAAGTGTGAAACAGGGAACGTTAACAAAACTACAGAGGAACTTGTAATTAAACAAACAAATGACAAGCTGTGTTTACCTGCCCCTAAACACGATGAAATCGTAGAAGAGGTTAGGGAAAATGGCGAGAAAATACATTTTGATAAATTACCCAAACCGAAAAGTTTATTTGCCGAGCCAGAAAATGTTATAGAAGATGATGATATTCCTCCGAAAAAAGAGGAAGAATTTAAACCTGAAAAACCGATTAAAAAGAATCGTGCTCCAGTTAAAATAACTGTTCCCTCTTTATCTGAAGTAAGTATATTAATGACACACAATCAAATGCTTTAATTTTACGTATTAACTATCACGAAATGATATTGAATTCTATTTATTGCAGTTCAAAGATGTGGAAGAAGAAGATGAAGCAAGGGCCAATAGAATTAGACCTTCCACTGTAAGTATATATAAATATTGAGTCATCCAAAAAATAAACATATATTTTTTGATCTTGCATATGAGCCGTTTATTTTGAAAGTGGCATAAGTCACTTTACCGTAATGAAAAGTGGTGATTTTTTAATATTTATACAAAATTATTTATACTGAGAAAAATATCAGTATCCTGAGATAACAAATACAAGTCAATCTTCCCTTAAAGTTAGCGTCCATATTTTTAAACGTATTAAAACGCAAACCCTTAAATATATCGACTTAAAAACAAAGTGACTTATGCCACTTTTAAAATAAACGGCTCATATGTAGTTGAGACTAAAATACATGTTACCGATGCTTCTTTGAAGTGATCTTTGATTTCCAAAATTAAAATTAAATATGTAATTTATTTGTAACAAACTTTTTATACCAACATAACTGAGAAAGATATAAATTTATATATAATTCCAGAAAGGTACCAAACTTTTTGCACTTCTGCCACTACCAAAGGGAGCTGAAGTCAAGTCTACTAATAATTTAATTCCTAGTGTTGTTAATAAAACGAAAATACATCAGAACAAACCTTTGGTAACTAAAGATACGAAAGGTTCAATTGCAAATAAAGTAATGAAAGTTACTCCAATGAAAAGTTCTATAGGTATAGATTATGAGTCAAATTCTGAAGACGAAGATGGAGTTCCTGTAAGCGGTACTGAATCTGGCACTGATTTTTTTGCTCTATCAGTCACCGATACTCCTGTTATATCCGATGCTTTAATGAACGAACTAAGCTTGAAGAAAGAATCAAATGAAATTGATCCTTCGCTTAAAGACGATGCGAGTAACGAGCATTTACCTAATAGTTCTGCCAAAACAGCAGAAGCTAGTATTGCCTCCCAGAAGACATTAGTGAGTAATATCATGAATTTACCAAAAGAAGAAATACTACTCAAAAATAAAGCTGAGGTGGGCCCAAAATTACCTATACCAGAACAAGAATATAATGTTGATACCGAAGGCAATGTGGCTTTTGATGAGAAAGCTATCGAATACCTCTGTGGAAAACGAAGTATAAAGAGAAAAGCTAAAGAAATCGATGAATCAAGTATTATTGAAATAAATGGCGAAGATATCAAACCAGATGAACGAGAATGGTTGGTGAAAGCATTAACAGAAGAGCCTGTCCAAAGACCGGTTTCCATGATGGGTGGAGTAAATTCACAATCTAAAAAGAAGCATCAAATTACGTATTTGGCTCACCAAGCTAAAGCAATGGAAATGGAGTTAAAGAATCAATGGGCACAAAACAGGATGACCAGAAAACAAACACAATCGAAATATGGGTTTTAAATCATACACATTTGTATAAAAAATATAAATATAATATCGTTTATTATTGTATAAAAATTAGATTATTTGTATGAGGAACGTGTTAAAAGTTGGTTGTCCTCTCGTAAAACTCTTTTTCTACTGTTTCGTATTCCTTTCGTTTAACTTCGAGCAATGCTTTCGCTTGTAATAAGTTAGGCGGTAAATCTTTATACTGACTAAGACATTGATCGATTTCTGCTAGTTCGCCAGTCATTTCTAAATACTTATTATATTTATTTAAAATTTTCTCAGGATAAAGATCTTCGACTTGCATTTCTGCTACATCAGCTTCCAACTCCTCCACAGTTTGTTTATAGTCCTTCAACTTTGTAGTCAAAAAAACTTGTTTACAATGCCTTTCTTCTTCATCCTTCAGACCTTCTTGTACAAGTTCTTCTATATCATTCACGGCTTCTTGTAAAGTCATGAGTTTCTTTGAAAATTTAGTATATTTTCTGTAAACGTTATCATACAATAATGCTAACTGTTTTTCTTCTCGCTCTCTTTTTGCTTCTTCCACTTTCTTTCTTTCGCAAACTATTTTTAGATCTGTTTTATCAAAGTCAGATAATCTTTCGAACTTTAAGATTGAAACTACTTTCTGCAGCCCGTCCTTAATGTCATTAGACAAAAATTCTGGTTCTAATTTTAATTTAGATAATAAGGGTAAGATTTCTTTCTGAAATGCAACATTTTCATTGGTTTCATCGGTAATTCCTTTCTGCACGAGTTCAAGTAATGATTGTTCCTCTGATGAAATACTGTTTTCCCGATATTTTAGATTTGAAGCTGTATTGTAGACAGAATCATTTTGTGAGGACGATGGAACCTGTCGTTTAAGTTTTGTTATAAATATGTAATATATAAATATATAATAATTTCCTTATATAAATTATAACTCACTTCGCTAATATGATCCATGTCGAATCCGCTACGTTACAATCGGTTACAATTTGAAAACTCATTTCACTTTACAGTGCGCATGTATGTGAAGTTAAAACTGTCAAAATACAGCCAATGTGAACATAGCTTCGAAACTCCACGATATCGATATGTAATAGGAAAGTAGGAGTAGGAATATAGGAATGACATTCAAATCAACCACGACCAACCATGTCTAAGGTTCAAACATAAATAATATGTACTAGTACACTTACATATGTATTTTGTTGCATTTTCAGTACAGATATTTTGGCTCGTTGCCCATAAAGTGATACAATTAAATTACACGTTGTATATCCAAGATTTTGAAGTTTTTTATTCGATCCAAGAATATCGACAAAATTTCGCTACGACAATACACAATATGTAAAGAAGAGTTCCTAAATACACAAATTCTCAGTAGTTCGCCATACTACATACATATGTACATATGTTCTCAGTTTTTTGCGAAATGTATAATAAAACGTATGTACTTTTTAAGTTTCTGTATAAATCTAGAGCAGTTAACTAGATTCATCGTACATTACAAGTAACAATTGATCTTATAAATTTAAAGTAACATCCACTTGAAAGTAATTCAATGAAATTCGGTGGTGACAATTACAAATTTTAAGACCGATTTCCACGTCGAGGATGAACGATCATACGAGATGGAATTTTTGTTTTAACTATATTTACCAACCGGAAATGCAGTTTACTAATGACAGAGTTGATGAGAAATTACTTACATAAGTCGATAAGTGTTATGTGTTCACGAATCGTTATTTAAACTGTGATTTTTATCGCCTTCACACGTCATGGAGATTCACACCTAGATCAAATTCCGGTAACGGCCATCTGAAAACGCGTGACCCTGCACGAATCATTGTTGCTGTCTTTCGTGTACGCTTTCATTGACAGTTATTTGCATTTGTTTTCGATGACGAAAAACTTTGGAAAATTGTGATCTTACGGAGTTATCCGAATTTAAATTAGGCTAGAACAAAGGAAATCGGAGTGACTGCACTGCGTATTTCACGCGTTTCTGTAGAAACGTGTGTTTAAAAGGTGACCGAAAAAACTGGTTAGTAACAGCAAGAATGAGCAACGACCAAGGAAGTGAATTGGCTCGAACAGTTGAGGTAAAAACTGCATACAACAAAATTTACTTTTCTTCATGTATTTTATATAAATACATACATTTAACTATTAACCCTTTATAAGATCACCTTACCTTTTTGCGTCTAAAAGAGAATAATATGACGTGATATTAATAAACATTAAGTGTGTGGTATAAATTAACAATTAATTTACAATTTTTATATATTTTATTTCAAGAAAAACAGTTTGTAAGTTTGAAGTTACAATCGTTAAAGTTACAACATCGGTTGATTTATAATCATTAATATTTCTTGTTCAAAATTTTAGTTCCCCATTTCAATCCTCTCATATTATAGAACAAATGAGGAAGAGAAATGTGAATGTTATAAAATATATTGCATATGTTACACTGTTACAGCTTCATGTGACATGAAAGTCGCAAAACTATATAATTATTACATAAATTTATTATATAAATGCATGTGTGGAAAAAGAAACAACTACTATATGAATCTGTAGAATGTTTACATGGTTCTTTTCTTGTTTATTGAAATTAAAAATAAAAGAAGTCGTAATAATTGCAAGAGTTAATCTTTACTTATCCTCTTAAAAAGTATAGTTATATATGTAATTTCAAAGTTACACTGCATTATAAAGGGTTAAATACAGTAACTCACTAACAATTAGAAACATCTAAATAGAATGAGTTTATTTGAAGAATAGATTTTTGTTGATTGAGAAATTAATATTCCATGTTAATTACATACTTACATATTTAAAATAAAAAAAATCATTTTTTTTATTGCAGTTATCTTCAAATGACATTGAGAAGTTAGAGGAAGCAAAACTAATGGCAAAGTTCCCAAATACTGGTCGTCCGATCAGTGGACATTCAGCGTTCCTACAGAAGAGGCTAGCTAAAGGGGTAAACATGCAAATCTTACATATTTCACTCTAGTTTTCTTTCAGATTTATTTACGAATTAAAATGTTGAACAATAATAATATTACTTAAGGAACTTATTGATGGAGCAATAGTATTTGTGTCTGATATGAGAAATGAAAATGTAATGGCAATCATTATTGTCAAATCATTCTTTTGGTAGAAAAACTAGCATAACTTGTAACTAATATAAGAAAGAAGATTCATTAATAATTGAATGTGATATTGACAATATATCTTTTGCCTATATCTCATGTATTTTTGTGTCACTGATAATAGTCAACAATGTTCAACACATAGTTTAACAAAAAGTTGTTAATAAAATACTAGGTTAATTGACAGTTTGTATGAAATCTGTAAAACACTTTCAGCAAAAATATTTTGATTCTGGGGATTATCAAATGGCAAAACAAAAATATACAGCTAAACCAAAGCCAGCTGGTGTTTTGCCAACAGGTGATGCTATACCTACACCGGAAACTGTACCACAACGAAAAACATCTATAATCCAACAAAAATTTAATACTTCGAGTACTTCATAAGTATTTTGTAAGATTTTTCAAAGTATTGCAACTCCAGTGATACAGTGCGATTGTATGCAATCCGAATTTGAAACAATCCAATGTCTTTATATTTGATAGATGGTATTATGTTAAAAAGATTAGTTTTTGTAATATTTCTTAGATGCTTGTCCAATGATCAGAATTTAGTGCAAAAATTTTCTGTTCACAGTCATATGTATAAAATTTGTAATATTATATATGCCATAAGAGCACTTTTTAAAAATTCTCTTTAAGGTACTTGGAAAAAAAGAAAGGAAGCAATTTATAATTTATAACTTCGTGTTATGTACTAAACACTTATGTTCTAAATTTTCATTAAATATGGGAGTGTCTGCACATGAATAAACACTCACCCCTCGTTTAATTATTTCAGTTACTTTCCTAGGCAGCAATAAATTTGGATTTTAGATTCAGGAATGCATGAAAGTAGGGTTTCAAAATTTGTTGTATAAATAAGCAATGACGCTAGGTATTTAGGAGTACAAGGCAAACTACAATTGGTAAGATGGGATTATGATGTAAATGTAACCACTTGTATATGCAATAGAGATTCAGGATAAGATATTTTACAGATCTGCATTTCCAAAGTTGCTGTGATGTGCTTAGTAAGACTATTTTCTTATAAGATGTCAGGTTGTCATAAGAATCTGTATGTAGCATAAAACAATCTTAAATATAGCAGTTGTTTTGGTTATTGTAAACTATAGATGTGTATAAGAGACAGCAATTATGTATACCCCATGTTAATTTCTTTACCTGTCTCTTATACACATCTCTTCTTAGTTGAATGTAACAATAAAGTTTCTTATAAAATATACAATTATGTATACCCCATGTTAATTTCTTTACCTGTCTCTTATACACATCTCTTCTTAGTTGAATGTAACAATAAAGTTTCTTATAAAATATACAATTATGTATACCCCATGTTAATTTCTTTACCTGTCTCTTATACACATCTCTTCTTAGTTGAATGTAACAATAAAGTTTCTTATAAAATATACAATTATGTATACCCCATGTTAATTTCTTTACCTGTCTCTTATACACATCTCTTCTTAGTTGAATGTAACAATAAAGTTTCTTATAAAATATACAATTATGTATACCCCATGTTAATTTCTTTACCTGTCTCTTATACACATCTCTTCTTAGTTGAATGTAACAATAAAGTTTCTTATAAAATATACAATTATGTATACCCCATGTTAATTTCTTTACCTGTCTCTTATACACATCTCTTCTTAGTTGAATGTAACAATAAAGTTTCTTATAAAATATACAATTATGTATACCCCATGTTAATTTCTTTACCTGTCTCTTATACACATCTCTTCTTAGTTGAATGTAACAATAAAGTTTCTTATAAAATATACAATTATGTATACCCCATGTTAATTTCTTTACCTGTCTCTTATACACATCTCTTCTTAGTTGAATGTAACAATAAAGTTTCTTATAAAATATACAATTATGTATACCCCATGTTAATTTCTTTACCTGTCTCTTATACACATCTCTTCTTAGTTGAATGTAACAATAAAGTTTCTTATAAAATATACAATTATGTATACCCCATGTTAATTTCTTTACCTGTCTCTTATACACATCTCTTCTTAGTTGAATGTAACAATAAAGTTTCTTATAAAATATACAATTATGTATACCCCATGTTAATTTCTTTACCTGTCTCTTATACACATCTCTTCTTAGTTGAATGTAACAATAAAGTTTCTTATAAAATATACAATTATGTATACCCCATGTTAATTTCTTTACCTGTCTCTTATACACATCTCTTCTTAGTTGAATGTAACAATAAAGTTTCTTATAAAATATACAATTATGTATACCCCATGTTAATTTCTTTACCTGTCTCTTATACACATCTCTTCTTAGTTGAATGTAACAATAAAGTTTCTTATAAAATATACAATTATGTATACCCCATGTTAATTTCTTTACCTGTCTCTTATACACATCTCTTCTTAGTTGAATGTAACAATAAAGTTTCTTATAAAATATACAATTATGTATACCCCATGTTAATTTCTTTACCTGTCTCTTATACACATCTCTTCTTAGTTGAATGTAACAATAAAGTTTCTTATAAAATATACAATTATGTATACCCCATGTTAATTTCTTTACCTGTCTCTTATACACATCTCTTCTTAGTTGAATGTAACAATAAAGTTTCTTATAAAATATACAATTATGTATACCCCATGTTAATTTCTTTACCTGTCTCTTATACACATCTCTTCTTAGTTGAATGTAACAATAAAGTTTCTTATAAAATATACAATTATGTATACCCCATGTTAATTTCTTTACCTGTCTCTTATACACATCTCTTCTTAGTTGAATGTAACAATAAAGTTTCTTATAAAATATACAATTATGTATACCCCATGTTAATTTCTTTACCTGTCTCTTATACACATCTCTTCTTAGTTGAATGTAACAATAAAGTTTCTTATAAAATATACAATTATGTATACCCCATGTTAATTTCTTTACCTGTCTCTTATACACATCTCTTCTTAGTTGAATGTAACAATAAAGTTTCTTATAAAATATACAATTATGTATACCCCATGTTAATTTCTTTACCTGTCTCTTATACACATCTCTTCTTAGTTGAATGTAACAATAAAGTTTCTTATAAAATATACAATTATGTATACCCCATGTTAATTTCTTTACCTGTCTCTTATACACATCTCTTCTTAGTTGAATGTAACAATAAAGTTTCTTATAAAATATACAATTATGTATACCCCATGTTAATTTCTTTACCTGTCTCTTATACACATCTCTTCTTAGTTGAATGTAACAATAAAGTTTCTTATAAAATATACAATTATGTATACCCCATGTTAATTTCTTTACCTGTCTCTTATACACATCTCTTCTTAGTTGAATGTAACAATAAAGTTTCTTATAAAATATACAATTATGTATACCCCATGTTAATTTCTTTACCTGTCTCTTATACACATCTCTTCTTAGTTGAATGTAACAATAAAGTTTCTTATAAAATATACAATTATGTATACCCCATGTTAATTTCTTTACCTGTCTCTTATACACATCTAGATGTGTATATTAGACAGGTGCTGCTTGATGCAAAAACGTAATTCAATTTAGTGCTTTAAATATTAATTATTGATAAATGTGAAAAGTAAATTGCCGTAAAAGTACGTTTTCTTCTTTTTTTTTTTAAATTTGTATAATATCACAATTACTTTAAGTATTAAAGCGTTTTATATAGGCTGATTGGCAGTTGCTTCAATATGTATTTTTGTGATAATATTGGAACTTTTTTGACGGACACATTTAGCACGTTTTTCTATATAACATATTTACTTGTACATATCTTCTATCAGGCCTTCGTACATTTTGTGAATAACGTTTCTCTTAACTTTAAGGGTTGGCCCCAATTCGCCAGTTGGTACTGAGAAATCGTGTGGCAAAATTTGGAATTTCTGAACCCTTTGTGCATTACTTATAACTTTTGTGTTTGCTCTTTTAATTGCCTTCTCGATTTCAGCATATACCTGAAAGAAATATTTTAATGAAATGCTGAACAGTATCTATGAACTATAATATTCTTGGATAATAATTTTGTATTCGAATACAGTTTTGTGTTATGTTAACCAATTCAAAAGCCAATTTTCCTTCAATTTTCAACATTACGAGTTTTGTCTGTTTTATTTGTAAAAACCACACACGAACATTTCTTGCAAGAATTTCGTACTAGTTATCCAAACACAAAGTTAGTGTTAAACAATGTAATTAATGAATTATAGTGATTAACTTACAAGAGGGTCACGAGTTTGTACTATTTCTGTAACTGTTGTTGCCTTGCTTCCAATAGACTGCAACCATTTCAAAGTATCTGGGGTAAATTGATCTTTTGGTGCACCTGTTTCATTGTTCATTTCAGTCTGAAAAAGTATGTATAATAAATTGTCAGAAGTAACGCTCATACAATTAACAATGATATCATTATAAAACTGTTACCTTCAAAGTAACCAGCGTAGTAAGGTACTTTCGTTTATCGCCAATTAATAAAACATTGCTCAGTGCAGGTAGTTCAGCTAATATTAATTGTTCTATGTGAACAGGAGGTATATTCTCACCACCAGCAGTGATAATCAATTCTTTGATTCTTCCTAAAATTGAATGAAATCATTATATTTTGGGAACACTGTCAACTGAATTAAAATAATATAAAATACCTGTATTGTGTATCAAAGACACTTACCAGTTACATATAAAAACCCATCCGAGTCTTCCGTGCCCAAATCACCAGTATGCAACCACCCATCTTCATCGAATACTTCTGCAGTTTTTTCAGGTTCATTTAAGTATCCCATAAACACATGTCTACCACTCATACAAATTTCTCCTTCACCAGTACTATCTGGGTTATCCAATTTTGTGGAAAATGCAGCCAGTGTTGGACCAACAGCACCAAGTCTACATACATACAAGGTATTATTAAGCATGATGCTTTATGCCAGCATTATGCTAGACTGGGGAAAGTGATTAATTTCTTAAAAGCTTTTCAAACATTAAAAGTAGTAAATTTTACCTGCAACGATCATTTGTACTTAAAGTATGTGCACCACCGCATTCCGACATTCCATATGCTTCCAATATAACAATATCCAAACTCAGGAAGTACTGTTTGATTTCAGTACTTAAAGGTGCAGCTGCAGTGACACATATGCCACATCTATCTAAACCAAGTGCTGCCTTCACTTTGTTAAAAATTAACCATTTAGCGATTAAGTAGCCCCAGTGCTTAAAATCGGTGCCTTTCAGTTTATTCATATTGTAAAATAGGCCTTGTGCTTTTGCCCAAGAAGCAATCCAACTTTTTATCATGCCATTGTTTCGTGCGACTGCTTGCATTCTTTCAAAAATTTTTTCCCATACTCTGGGCACACCAACGAAAACAGTAGGTCGTGCTACGACTAAAGTCTCGACTAAGGTACCCTTCAATGCATTCTTGTCGGCAAAGTACAATGTGCCTGCGATTGTCATGCAGCAGAATATATCAATAACCTGAAATCATCACGAGTCACATGTTTATGCTGAATTTGAATTTGTTTCTGTTTTAAACGTAATATGCTTACCTGTGCTGCAACATGAGATAATGGTAGATAGCTAATTAGGACCTCTGTAGTGTTTTCAAATTTACAAGCATCAATCAAATTCTTTGCATCATATATTAAGTTGTCATGATTCAGCATCACAGCCTTTGGGTTCCCAACTGTACCTGACTATAAGCAGAATATGAGTATTTACTTTTTCGTATATTTGTATTACTGTTCATTATTATTAAATAAATTTGAGTTCTCGTACCGTGTAAACTAGGGTACAGCATTCGTTGACGCCAATAGTCTTTAGAACAGCGTTCAATTTGTCATCAGACTCTGCCTCTCCCATTTTGATCACATCGTTCCACTACAATACACAAATTGTTATGAAGTTCTGCAACAGATTATATATTGTAAAATTAGTTACTAACACTTAAGACATCCTTGTCTTCGGATTCCTCATCGTACATGATGATCGCTTTCAAGAAAGGAAGGTTTTTCTTTATTTTCTGTATCTTTTCCAGCTGCTTTGTGTCTTCAACCACTATTATATTGGCTCGACTATTGTCGGCACAAAAGTGACACGCTTCTGGAGTGTTTGTTGTGTAGACTCCAACAGCAAATCCTCTGAAAACGTAATAGAGGAGGGTGTTAGTTTATATTACCTTTTAGGATAAATTTAGATAAAATTGTATTTACCCTGCATAAATTGCAGCGATATCTGAGATAACCCATTCTGGACTATTAAATCCTATGATACAGACACCGTGATAACGTTCTAGACCCAGTTTTAGAAAAGCTTTCGCCACAGTTTTCACTTGGTTCTCATAGTCTCTGAAATGGAAAATCCAACAAATAAGTAAACTCCAGTGACAATTTTATGCTTTCATAGAAGAATTTCAAAAAACAAAAATCAAATTTTTATTCTAATAAAAAATATTAAATCTAGTAAGAAGTTCTGTTCATTTTCAAAAATCAACCAAAATACGTACTTGTAACTGTACGTCTTTCTTTTTCCGTTGGCATCGGGTCTCGTTACGAATGCAGTATGTCCACCATGTGAATTAGCTATTCTTGTTAATAATCCAGGGACCGATATTGGCGGCGTGGGATTAATGTCCTCGCTACTTAATTTGATTTTCACGCGTCCATTCGGTAGCGTTGTGACCGTCGAATCCGCTTTCAAGATCTGATCTGGACCTGTAGTAACAAGTGCAAAATTATAATAGCATGTAACAGACTTCGTTAGAAATGCTATTCTTAAATAAAACATTTTGCGAGTACGTACCATCGAGGCCGGTAGCGCTGTAATTTGTATAATAGCTACCCTTTTCCATCTTATCCTAATAGAATTAATCATCGAAAAATGAATTAGTAAAACAATTCTCCTGCTCTTCAACTTTTCTTGGTTTTCCAAGTTTCTATCGAAATTATTTTACCTTTTCGTTCAACGCGAATCCTTTTACCGCCCCATTCGATTGAATCGGCTGCACGGTTGTCATGTTATCTGAAACGATAAATAATTACATAATTGATTAATCAGGTGATCATATTAATATTAAAGAAGTTACTAATCATCGAGAAGTATCAAATGAAAGATAAAAGAAAAAGTAACGTTTTTTATATTCTTTTTATTCCAAGTAATAGCAAAATTAATAAAAAAAAACGTGTTTTAGTCATTGTACAGTGAACTAATCCCTCTAACGTTTATAAAAAAAATGCAAGACCAGTTAGACCAGTTTCAAAACAGTTGTACCATTTTAAAAGAGATCACTCAGTTTTGCTTCTCACTGTACATCAAGGAAATAAGAATTTGTCGTGCGAGCAATCAATTATTAATGAAAATCACAAACACTTTAATTTCCTCGATTCTATTAAATCGAAGACATGTTTGATTCATCGTTATATTCTTGCGATTCATCTTTAGAGGATGTTAAAGGTCATCGATGATATTCCATTCGTGTGCCGATTACAGTGAATTCAATCCTATTTTGGCTACGCAGATAATTGATTCCCGATTACAGACGTGACGAATTTTTACCGAAACACGAAAACAAACAACACATTGCCCACTACAATAACGTACCGTTTATCTCGAATCGCGTATTGTACTGCAAACCTTAGTATTCTTTTAGTTCAGCAAAATACGTAGGTACGATAAAAAGAGAAGTCTTCCAAGAGAATCGGATAAGATTATAGATCAAGTGGTAATTGTAAGAAAATTCTAAAAGATCTGCGAAGAAGGTGTACAGTCAGAGCTTTCTTTTTCAGGGAATTGAACTTTGTAATTCATACAGTTCATGATTCATACTTTTCATACTTCTGTGATACTATTGTTTTCCGTTCACGCAATTAGCGAAATTTACGCGATAATGATAATGCTCGATGGAAAAGCGAATACGCTGTAAGTTAGTAATTTCTCAAGTTAATCGACGATCACAAAGCAAATCAATATTTTATCTTTGGGAAATTTCTCAAATTGATAAAATATTTCAAACATTATTTCAAGCCGTTCCAATCGTTCTGAAGTTTCTCAAGAATTTCGTTTAGAAATTCGCTTTAGAATACACTGTAAGTTAGTAATTTCTCAAGTTAATCGATGATCACAAAGCAAATCAATATTTTATCTTTGGGAAATTTCTCAAATTGATAAAATATTTCAAACATTATTTCAAGCCGTTCTAATCGTTTTGAAGTTTCACAAGAATTTCTTTTAGAAATTCGCTTTAGAATACACTGTAAGTTAGTAATTTCTCAAGTTAATCGATGATCACAAAGCAAATCAATATTTTATCTTTGGGAAATTTCTCAAATTGATAAAATATTTCAAACATTATTTCAAGCCGTTCCAATCGTTTTGAAGTTTCACAAGAATTTCTTTTAGAAATTCGCTTTAGAATACACTGTAAGTTAGTAATTTCTCAAGTTAATCGATGATCACAAAGCAAATCAATATTTTATCTTTGGGAAATTTCTCAAATTGATAAAATATTTCAAACATTATTTCAAGCCGTTCCAATCGTTTTGAAGTTTCACAAGAATTTCTTTTAGAAATTCGCTTTAGAATACACTGTAAGTTAGTAATTTCTCAAGTTAATCAACGATCACAAAGCAAAATAAATATTTTATCTTTGGGAAATTTCTCAAATTGATAAAATATCTCAAACATTATTTCAAGCCGTTTCAATCGTTCTGAAGTTTCACAAGAATTTCTTTTAGAAATTCGCTTTAGAATACACTGTAAGTTAGTAATTTCTCAAGTTAATCAACGATCACAAAGCAAAATAAATATTTTATCTTTGGGAAATTTCTCAAATTGATAAAATATCTCAAACATTATTTCAAGCCGTTTCAATCGTTCTGAAGTTTCTCAAGAATTTCGTTTAGAAATTCATTGTGCTCGGATCCCAAGCTGTTCGTGAAAAAGAATGCTTCCAAAATAAGTAAACAAATTGAAGAAAACTGATTTGTAAGCTATTCTGCAATGTTTTCTAAGTTCGAAAGCGACTATCCCAGTGGAGAGCCGGTTGTTATCAACGATGTTTTGAATATGTTACGTATCGTTCCTCATTTTCTGTGCTTCTTTTTTTGTTTTAACTCTTGCCCGTGTATCAGGCGATGCACGGGCAAAGTGCACATGCTATACATCACCGTTTCCAGGCGTGCACGAGCCTCTTACGTAAAGTATCGATAAATCATCCGAACGAACGCTGAATTTCGAAAAGTGGAGGGACTTCGTTTGGGACTGACCCTGTCTGTGGTTGGTCCAGGGTCGTCGGTCGTGGATCTCGAGCCGTGAAATCATCACGCGCGAATAGATCGCTGCCTGGTGCTAGCTAGCTTTGTATCGAACACGTCCAGCCAACGATATCGATACAACAACGCTGGGAACGTTTATTGTTCCGAGTCGTTGACATGGATGATACTTGCTGCGCGTGTTACCGTCAACGTCAACACAGCGCCCGCAATCCAATGAAACCGATCGATTTCAATTAGACAACTGATTCGCGTACAACAGACTAGTATGTAGCTAGAATCTTTGAAACAGAGCTGGCGGAAAATCGGCGACAAATTCGCGATTTCGTCGGATCTGTTCCTCGAACATACGATTAGTAATGTCGAGTGCATTCTCGAGGTCGCTGATGACGGAACGAAAAGTTCCGAATTCGCTATATGAGCCGTTTATTTTGAAAGTGGCATAAGTGGCACTTTACCGTAATGGAAAGTGGTGATTTTTTAATGTTTATACGAAATTATTTATACTGAGAAAAATATCAGTATCCTGAGATAACGAATACAAGTAAATCTTCTCGAAAGTTAGCATCCATATTTTGAAACGTGTTAAAACGCAAACCCTTAAATACTTAAAACAAACTTAAATACTAAATAACAAATACTTAACATAATACTAATACAATACTTAAATACTTAAATAAAAATAACAATACTTAAATACTTAAATAAAAATAACAATACTTAAATACTTAAATAAAAATAACAATACTTAAATACTTAAATACAAAGTGACTTATGCCACTTTCAAAATAAACGGCTCATATAGTGGATTCAATATGCACGAATTCTACGGAATCATAGACTTCTCTCTAATAGATGAGTGCTAACGGTACTGGCATAATCAAAATATGAATAGTAATAACGCGAACGTTTCTGAACGTTTTACAAAATTGCTGGGCAAGTGTTGGCATATTCGAGTAATAATGTTCAGAAATAATTTAATAATGAAATAATATCCTGTTTGTTTCTCTTATTTTTTCAAGAGAAATGCTATCCCGTTCACTGTTCAATCATTTAAACGATTTCATTGCACGTTTTATTTCACGCGATTCTATTCGATGCAACGTCATAAATTTTGTATTTTAGCCACTATGGATCACTCTCCGCAATTTTTACAATCTAGAGTAGAGCTTGAAAGTCTTTGTTGAAATTAATGTCGAATAGATAAAGATTGTTTTCAGCGGAATACGGAGACTTAGGAATCCTTTGAAATTACCGCCTCGCGAATACTGACACGCGTGTTTAACATGGTCGTGCTTGCTATAGCACCTAAGTACTTACGACTTACACCCGGAAAAGACCGACTTGCTTATTTATTCAATATAACTATCGCGCCAGTGTTGTACATATATTGAAACTTGTTGAATAATTTCGTCACGGTGGGCTGACTGTTGCTGTGGTAATATAGATATATGTAGGCCAGGAAAAATGATTTATTATTCTAAGCTGGTAAACAGAAATGACCCTGTTCATTTCACTGAAAAGCATGTTCCCGAATTTTCTTGTATTCGACATTAATAAAAGAGCCGAGCACACTTTCACGCGTCCGCAATTTGTTCCCGGAAATAGAAACTATGTTTTCGTTCATAATTTTGATCAATAAATCGCCAACAAAAGATCAACGAGGTTCAATGAAAACAGTCCGTTTTGATTGGTCGATGTGCGAGATTTGAAAAAACCACGAGGAAATCTGGAGATCGAAGGAATTTGAAATCGCTTCGAACAACTTCGACTCGAATTCGTTATTTATTGAACAATTCTCTAGATTTTCATGGCACAGACGAATTTATGTCGTGTCGCGCGTGGATCGACGAAAATGTACCGTAAATCATTTTGTTGAAAATTTCTGAAACGTTAATGAAATAGTCGCGGCCAAGTGAAGGGTGCTAATTCGTTGATTGCTCGAAACGTTTCCGCGCGTTTCTAATTAACATTCGCGGAACAACAATGGTGTAGTGCGTAGTTATTAAATTATTTAATGTTAGATTGGTCGATCGAACGTGTACTTGACAGTGCCATCTTTTTCGGAAGCGAATATCCTGCGTTGAGAGCGACGTTATCTCGCGGTACTTTCGATATTCGGGTAGCGAATGTTTAGCTTGAGGGATGAGCCGTTTCATGTAATTAAATTAGAGGAATTACCTTTAACAAGTAGAATAACCATCTTGGCGGCTTTCGAGGTAGCGCGTTAGGATTCCACGAGCGAAACGAAACTGACGGACTCGCCAAAATCAATAATAGAACATCACACCACCTTTCGGCGGCACATTCAAACGTAAAATGGATATTTCATTGGTTTGCACCTGCATTTGGCTTCCTTAGAACCGGGGAAACAAACCAGAGTGCTAGATGCACTTACAGTAGCGTAGAATCTATTTTCTGCAGACACAAAAGCTCTCCGACGGATCACTTTTCCATTATTCGAAGCACAAATGGGAAACAATTACTCCACGATTCGCTGGTCCGATTAGTAATAATATTAGAATGAAAATTATTGTTATCTTTTATATTGGCGAGTTCAATATTTCTCTTCGACGACTACGACAACGGTAAGAACTCTACAGCACCGAAGTATTTAGTTGACTCTTCGAATAATTAGAACGACGCTATTTTGTATTTCGGATTATATAATGACACGTTGTGTTCTAGAATATACACTTTAAGGTTTAAATAACTTGTACAGGCGCGCTATCTACTAATCGATGGTGTTGC